GACAAAGATTTGTCCATCTCGCTCAATTTGCACCCACGCTGGTGAGTACAGCGGCGGACCGCATTGAGGAGTTTCGCAAAAGACTTCGACCTGACCTCAGGCCGCACGTATCTACTATTCAAACTATGGATTTCATTGAGGCATACGATCTAATCTCCAAAGCCGAAAAAGATCTAAGTGATTACTATGAAAGTGTGAAGAATAAGAATGTCAATCCAAATGAACGACCAAATTCAAATGGGAAGAGACCCCTGCAAGAAATTGATTGTGCCATTCACTCGAAAAAGGGAAAATCAATGACAATTCAATCGACGTCATCCATGAACAAAATGAGGGTATGGAAACATCCAAAGTGTAATGTTTGTAAAAGACACCATCCGGGAGATTGCTGGCTTGCACAAGGATTATGTCTAATTTGTGGTGAACCTGGACATTTCCGAAGAGAATGTCCCTCTAACCCTGAATCATATTCAGTTACTTCTGTCCAAAATCAACCTGTTCACTCATGAACAAGTCAACGCTCTAAAACACAAAGCAATTCAAAGAATCCAACCCAAGGATGATACTCTGTGAAGATCCTAAAGTGCTACAAGGGCTCAAGGATATATTGAATAATGTAGAAACCTTATGTAAACAAGAAATTATCTTTCGATTTGAATCTCAAGAATATTCATATTTTCTTAAACCTACGTGTGTTGAAACCATTGTATAATGAAATATTTCATTTGACCCATCTTGAGAAAATGTTTGATATTTACATGATGCATTCTGATGTTGAAAATAGATATTTTTCTGACCTGCACTGGCCATGCAGCTTAGAATAATGTGTATGGTTAACTCATAATGTTCATGGACAATATTATTCCAACATTACATAAACTAATATTACAAATGCAACTCTAAGTCCAATGCCCCACGATTTACAAACTCGTTCATGCCGGCAGGCGTGAAGCCCATTTCCAGTGCTCTAAGGCACAAACCACAGTTCTCACCACACAAACTATGGATTGGTCGGAAACCTGGGAATGTACGATGTAATTCCAAGTCTTTTTGTCGTCCATATATCTGCTCCATAGAGGATTAACCTGTTGCAAGAATCGATCAAGAAGGGGAATTTGTTCGGGGCGGAGGAGTTGACGGTGCAGAGCTCGGCGTTGTGGGGGTAGTGGAGTTTCAAGAAGACGGATTTTTGAGTGATTCCAGCGCCTCCGAAGGACCAGAGGTGGAGAACGAGACCAGAGTCGGTGACGGGCGGGTGGTGGAGCCGGAGTCTGGAAATCAATTGCCGCATGATTTGGAAACGATCTCCAGCTTCGCTAGGGATTTCAGGGGGACGAAAGAGAAGATGGTTTCGACGATTTCGTCGCATAGATCTCCGAACTCTGTCGCCGGCGGGATGACGGCCATGGCGACCGCCTCTACTTCTTTGTCCCTTCCCCCTGTTTCTTGATTTTTCTTCACCGTCTATTGTTCATGATCGGCTACGTAGGCCGACGACGTCAACAAAGAAGACACGGCAGGGAAAATGGCTACCTCAAGTATGTTTCGATTTTTTAGCATTAGTTAATTATATCTCATACTAAAAATTCGGCCATGGTTACCCATGGATTTCACAGCTAGGGTTTATAATAATCAATATTTTCAGATTCCCTTCTAGCAATCTCTGATGAAAGTTTGATTTTAACTTCGGCTGCAACCTTAGCACTGTAGTTTCGATCTTCAATCGATTTTAAAAGATGATTTCAGGGGCAGTGAGATTGAGGTATCACTATTATTTATTTTAATTCAAATTCTTCATCACCTTCATGACTAAAGAATAAAATTTTCTCTTCACTCTGCTGGTGATTGTTGAACCCAATATCCCTGTTATATATATACAAAAGCAGGATTTTTTGTTGTTGTGATGAAGAAGACTCTTAGGACCTGAACGATGGAGATGACAATGACCTCAACAATTGTTCATGCTACCTTTGGTGAGCATTTAGTTATTTCTTTTTTGACCTTACACTATAATGCTTTGTATTTCTCAGATGGGGTATCTTAATTCAAGGTTGTAAGCTATATTTCTAGGGCACCGATGTCTTCCCCCATTCTTGTGGGTGGGTGGATTTGCCGGCTTAACTTTAGGTCTAGACAAAGAGGGTGGTGGCTATGCCTTCTAAGTAGCGATTCTGCAAGACATACAATTTGGTATAATACGGTCAGAGAATTAGACAATTCCAATTTTAAAATGTTCTTTTTATTAAATTATGATTTTCAGATAAATAAAATCCAATTTTATAAATTGGATTATCAAATATTAAATAATTTTATGTTTAATTTCATTTTCTATTTATAGATAAATGTGAGTGTTTGAATCCTAATGTTAAGCTTTTAAAATAACTCCTCGGTAAAATATCTTTGAATATAAAAGGCTCCAATACAGTAGACTAATAAACTTTCTTCTTGTCATTACTCCCTGATACAGCAACTTTGTTTGCATACCCATACTCTAAAAATGCTAAAAGTATTTTCGTGCATACTGGCATTGCAAGCTTTGGGAATACCCACTTTGGAGTCATCATAATTGAAATGATATGGAATAGTCTTTTGGTAATAGTAAATGCAACGCCCTGAAACCCGGCTTAGTAGTTAGTCGTTATTTTAATAAAAAATGAATATATTATTTATTGACTTCAAAATATGAATTATTTGTAAAGTTGACCATTTTAATTAAAAATTAGGCTTTCGGGTAGATCTCGTAAAATAGTGACCAACGGTATATAGCTTGTTAAGTTTGGACTTTTGCGTAAAACATGATGAGTAAAATAGATGTTACAGTTCAATAAATAAATATAAAGATTTTATAATATAATAATTATTAAACCTTCCTAAACCTTAGCCGTAAGAAAAGGAAACCCCAATCTATTTGGGGAGAAATACAGGGACCATTTTTATATATGCGTATAAGCTTTGGGGTGGAAAAAAGGGTAATCCCTATTTCTATACGTATTGGACCTTGAGATCCAAACCCTTTAGAGACCCAAACCCCAAACCCAATTTCCTTAAATACTTCATGCGCTGCTCTGTTTCCCCACTGCCGTATTCTTGAAAGACGCTAGAATTCTTAAGCCGATTAGAGTGGGATTCCTTGCCAATTGATTCGAGGTGAGTGATTTATCTCTAGTTAAAATTAGTTCGTAGATTAGGATTCATTAATATGTTTTCATCCAATTGATGTTGAATTCGTAAGTATGATTATGCGACTGATTGTGTGAATTTAATTTGAGTTGGGATATGAATTTTATTTTGGAAAATTTATACATTGCTACTGCTGCTCTATTTTGTTTCTCTCTTGCTTTGTGTTCTGCGATCATGCTCTCTCTTCTCTCTCTGTTCTGTTCGTCTCTTCTCTCTCTATATGTGCTGACTTGCTACTGCCACTGCTGTGGCGGTGTGTTGCTATTTCAACCTTGCTTCCAAACGAGAAGGGAAGTTACTGCTTCTGGGGCATTTAGCAGTCCTTATTGTCCGGTTGTGTTGCTTGATTTATGTGTTTTGTGATCTAGATTTGCATCTGTTCTTCTGTTAGGCCTATGTTCGTGTTAGGCCTATGTTCGTGTTGTTCTTAGTATGTAAGATGTTAGTGAGCTTATTGGTGTATTGTTATGTTGTGAAATAAAAGTGTGAAGTAGGCCACCTAGTGGTACAAGGTGAATCTGAGTTTAATTAGATATTAGAAATCATAAATCGGGTTGAGATTATAAACTAAGGTCATGCAGGTGAAGTCGTACACATAGTGGTCTCGAGGGTTAAAAACGTGTGCACGGTGGTCATTGACCCCTGGCGAGAGCCAGTGGGGGCCTCAACCCCCTCCATTGCGAGAGCTTTGGAGTTATGAGTGTGGGTTTGGGCGAGAGCCTAGATAATATCTAGCAGGCAGATGGAGTAAGGAAGCATAAAAACTAAACTGAAATATAAGGGTAAATAGTGGTAGAGTTGGATAATGATATTTGCTGATTATTCTGATATTTTATGATCATATGTGAATGGGTGTTAGTCTATGAGTTAGTTCCAGCGTTAGATACTTCCACTCTCCCTATTTTTACAGGTAGGGATCAAGGATTGGATGAGGAGCAGCCTGGAGGATAGTGAAGCGTGACGCTGGTGGATGGCCCGAAGCTGTTTTACTTAAATTAAATACAATTTGTTGAATTTGTTTATTTAAATTATTAGAATGTTGAATGTTGTTTTCAAGGCTTCCGCAACGTTTGAATTATTTACTCCGATTAATTATGAATTGTTTTTAAATAAATGTGAATTGATATTATGAACGAATGTTTTTTTTATTTTAAAATGTTTTTAAAATATTGTGCATGTGAATACCAAATTAGTAGCAACCCAATTCGCTAACTTGTTGGTTCGTGTTACGCGGATTGGGGTGTTATAATTTTTTGCTACTATATTAGATGGTCTTATTGCAAATTCCTTTTCCCTCAAACACTTGCGTATGCAATGTGTGTCTTGATGTTAGGTCTTAAACCCTTATTGGAAGGCTTAAAGCTATTGCACTTGGTGTTATTGTTTGGTATATATAGTGTACCTATAATGATCTACTTCATGAATAAAGTGACTAGAGCTTTAATTCAACATTGAAGAAGATAAAAAAATTCCTCCTGGTCAATTGCACACGCCAATGAGAAGTTCTGTAAACATCTTCCATTAAAGGTACTTGACACTGGCTTTTGCCTTAAAGGGCAACCTTTCAAATTTTTGAAGTTCCTGTAAAAAATTTTAAACAGGTTGTGGAGGATGATCAATTGACCATGAGTGTGGCTCTATAGGTAGGTACACATCTGTTTCTTTATTTAATCTTTCATTTTCAATCCTCAAATAAAATCATTGTTTGACCTTCCCAAGATACAGAGAATTAAACTCTAATGTGAGTTTTGGTTTTTAGCTGGTTCAAATTGAGCTCTTTTAGATTTTGGTTGTTTATAGTTTTTGGGGTTAATTTGAATGGACTTCGGGTGATGAGTCTCGAAGATTTTATGGTATACATTATGTCATATTTAGATTCTTGCTCCATTGTGAACTCTCCATCTCATAATTTGAGTTTGAGCATCCGAGGAAATGAGGGATTACCAAGGGAGTGAAAAAAGTGTGAGTAGAGTTGGGAACAAAAGCAGCAGCAAAGGCTGAAAGGACTAAATTCTGGGATGAGTGATTCACGGGTGGAGGAGGTGCAGTAGAGTGTTTTGAAGTTGGAGGTGTTGCTACAAGATTTGCAGAAGTTGCAGCAAATTTTGGGCCATAGTCTAAAATTTTGATGTGTGTTTTGTTAAACCCGTGAACTGTTGATGAATGAAGCTGCAACTTATGGGTGTGTTAAGAAATTTTGTTTAACTGATGGTGTTAAGGGGCATCATTAATCACAACCCATTTAAGCTTTTGTTAAATGGTTTGAGATTCTATAAGTTTCCGTGTCTTTACAACTTATATAATCTCTAGCTTACGTTCTACCAAAGCTTGAGGGGAAGTTTCTTAACACTCTCAAACAAAAAATTTTGAAATTAATTTTTTTATGCTTTTTTTTGGATTTGAGATTAATATGCACATCTTGCCCCTTCGAAATCAAATTCTACTTTTCAGACTAAAAGAGAATGTAATGGAACAAAGTGATAATAAATTTCCAAATAGACTGTTAAGAAATTTCCAAAAGTGATATGTCACACACTTTAATAGTATAGAATAATTATCATTATAGGACAAATTTGAAATTACTCCTTTTAAACTCTTTTTTTTGGAATTTGAGATTGATATGCCCCTTTGAAATCAAATTCTACTTTTCAAAATCCAATTTCAATATTTTGATGTTAACCTCATACCAAAAGATTCTAAAGTCTGATGGATTCTTAATGTTTGGGCATTTAAAAAAAATTAATCTGCATTTGATTTCATTTTTATAATGTTGAGGATATACTTTTATTCAATTCTTAATCTCACCATATTTTCCCTTTAGATTTGAGTAAAAGTTTATCTTTAAAATTTGATATTTAAAATTATTATGTTTTTAATTACACCATCAATTCTATACTGAAGTGTGTAATTTTATTTGGTTTTGAGGTACATTACGTGATCATGTGGTAATGTTTTTCTACACAACTTTATGTTTATGAAAATTTTGTCATATTTATTATTAGACTTCATAAAGAACAAGGTAGTATGTTAATTCATAGCATTTCTTTTTCTAAGCTAGAGTGTGGTGAGAATAATTGATTATATGATCTGTAGGGTCCGAACAAATGTGTGTTTCATTATTCAAAGATTTTGGGTATAAAGCCTATAAGCATTTGAACATGTGATACTGTTTGAAATTAAAGAAATATTTAATTTAAAATTATTTTTTGGTGATCGTGGTTTTGTTTTCATGTTTGTTTGCACGAAAGAGATGCAATAAAATTGGGTTAATGAAAATAAATATGTGCTTTTGGTTTAGGAAAACATGGTTTATCAATCTATTTTTAAATTAAGAAAAAAATTAAGTCCGTAGAAATTTACGAAGTGTTTAAGTTGATAACAACCTATTCTAGATTATGAGTTCAATTTGATCCAAACAATAATTATTAAAGTAAATGTTTTGGTCTTCTCGAACTTTGTTTTTGGGCATCCTATGCCTTGACAGATTTATACTCCTTGGATAGTTACTCTTTTGAGTTTGAGTTTTATTGTATGCTTATTTGTGCTTGATATTGAAATGTTGTATGTCTGTATCATGGAGTTTTTTTTATTTTACTTTCAAATGTATAGAGTATGTGTATGTGTGTGTGTTCATGGAAATAAATGAAACACTAACACATATTAAATGTATCCTTGAGAAATGATAACGTGTTTTTATTTGTTGATACATTATTAAATGTTCTTGAGGGTGTGCTCTATTGTTTTTTGTACTCATTGGATATAAGTGAGGTATAATTTTTCTTATGAAGGAAATATATATATATATTCTAAAAAAAACCAAGTCAATAGCATTTAGTTTTATTTAAGTTTGTATACAAATATTTTATTTTGTGAAATTTTTAAATTCTACATTTTGAAATAAACTACTTACCGTGCAACACACGGGTAAAATCTAGTGCATTACCGAGAATATAATATGCATTGTAACTCTAGACAATGCATCCTTTTATTTTGTATTCTAAAAGTCAAAGTTGATGCATCTCATAGTGAAATTCTTCTCATACAAATATGATGCATCAGTATAGTGTATAAATTGATTTTTTGCAAACGATGATACATTGAAATATTTTATCATACATTTGAGCATGGGCTAGAAATACGTTGATGAATGATGCCAATTTTAAATATGAAACTATGTATTTAATAGGTCCAAGTGCAAGATGAGAGTCTATTTGAAAAAACAAATTGTTGCCTATTAGCTCAAATGGTAGATCGATATGTACTATGGATGTGGGTTCGAATCCCGCATAGGCAAACTATTTCTCAAACATGTATTATACTTATTTTTTAATACAATACATTTTCAGGCTTTTTCATCACATATAAAGTCACCAAAAAATCATTATTCACAACCCACTAATTAATAGAATACAATTTGAGAATACAATTTGAGTGAAATTGACCAACCCATTTTTAGTTGCTCAAAGCATTTTAGTCGTAAAATAAACCTAAGCCGTTTGATGCATCTGATCTAGCGTCTATATTTTATTCTCATTTCTTTCATGGAGAGTAATTCTCACAAGAACCAGCACCTATATATATATCCTTTATCCTTTACTATAATAAAGGAGACTCTGATTCACAGAAATTTGACATTTGGCGTGTCTACGTGGAAAATTTTTAACATGTCAGCGCCACGTAATAACTGAGTAAAATTTAAAAAATATTATTACAGAGTGCACCAGAAGAAGAAAGAGGAAAAAAGAAAGCGAAAATCCTTTACTATAATATTTGAGACTCGACTCACAGAATTTTGACATATGACAGGTTTGATTGGCATTTTTAACAACCGCTACCTATTTATTATTTTAATGAGTTGTAATTTTAATCAATATACGGAATAGTGATTTGGCATTATTTTAATTTATTGTTTATTGCTTGAATATATATAGTGACCAAATTAATACTCTATCTACCCCTAAAAACTCTTCCTATTATGACTTTTTTGGTCAAATAGTGACATTCTTTGACTGCAAATTGGGAGAAAAGTATATTTAATTATAATATAAATTTAATAAAACCTTACGATATAGTTTTGACATCAAAATTTTATAACATTTATTTATTTAGATTATAATTAATTTATGGTCAAATCTTTATTTGACCAAAGAAGTCAAAACAAAAAGAGTTTTCTGGGACGGAGGGAGTAGTTTTTTATTCGTTTCACGCAGTTAATCTTAAGAATTAGTAATTCTATTGTTTCTAACACTCTGATTTGTTTTCTAAATAGTATGTTTGACCATTTAAATTTCTTAAAATATATTAGTAAAAAATTAGAGAATATGAATACTTATTCTTTTTTAAGGATATGACACTATTAAGACTAACTCTTGAAGTAGTTGAAATGATAAATGAATTTGTCATGTCTTTCATTCCTGAAGATGAAAAAGAATACTTGAGTTCTGATTCTTCATGCCAAGCAAATGCAAATTCTTCATGATGATCGATAACCATTTAGTTTTTGAATGAATCAAATGTTCGGTAATCCCAAACAACAAAATAGTTTTGAAAAAAGGGGTACTGATTCTGTTATCAGTGCAATTATGGTTT